GGAAGATAATTAAATGTTCACTTCTGCAAGTTGTCACTTTCAAAAGTTAATTAAAGGTTCACTTCTGCAAGTTGTCACTTTCAAAAGTTAATTAAAGGAGAAAGGAGGCTTTGATTAAATATTTTATGTTACTTATACTTACAGATGTTATGGTGAAATTGAAACTAATTCATCTCCCGTGATTTGTGATTGCGTTTACTCATTTTTGTCTGTGATTTGTAATAGGAAAATAATTACTTTCTGTGTCCATGATTTCCTACCTAGGAAAAGATGAAAATACAACCAGTCTTGAAATAATTTTGAAACAAAAGTTCAAGTTTCGAAGTAGCGTGAGAAGAAAAAAAAAGAAACCACTGCATATTTTCCTGAAATGATGAAATGCTTCCTTATTTATCAAACATTGTAGTGTAGTGCCCTGAGATGTAACAAAGTGACTGACACATAACGTGTTCATCAATGCACTAATTTTGTTAAACTTGTTACCGAGATGGTATTCATCAAGATTCCTGTTAAAACTTTCTCACGTGCCACAATCAATAAGAAATTGATGTTGACAAACCTTGTGACTTATACAATAGTACTGTTTGTCGTCTGTCCATGTAACTATTTCGCAGGGTGTGGATGGATCTTCACCAAAATTGGTAAGGAGGTTCATTAGGTCCATTCGGGAGAACATACAAAATTTCAGTTTTGCGGTTTTTATGGGCGTTTTTTACTACTACTTCGCCCCCTGTAAATGGATATTCACCAAATTTAGTAAGGAAGTTCATTTGGAGAGCTTCTGAAAATGTCTCCATGAACAGCTAGTCCTTAAGTTCAACTAATTCATGTTTCCCAAAACATTATTGCTGGCATTACTGCTTCTGCTTGTTTTTCCTGAATTATTTTCTTAAAATTCTCTTTTGGTGCCACATATCGACTTTTCTTTCTCAGTCAAATATATATATAATGTATTTATTGAAAGTAATGAGGATTTTTCCCCACTCACTCGTATTTAATGTGGTTTACATCATCCAGTGAAGTACTGTTGCTTGCAGGCAGTCACTAGCATAACATTCTTGTTGCTACACTTGAAATACTTTCAGTCTTCAGTAACTTTCCATAGACAACTGCCCAATGAGTGTATGTGCCAGATAAACGTTCAACGTTATTTATATACTAGCTGGAGTACCCGTCCCCTGGATGTAAGTTATGTAAATTCATGATTAATTAAAGGTTATCTTAGAACATGAAAACTTGCTTCCCTTACATGTAACTGCAAAAAACGTCCATAAAAACCGCGAAACGCAAAACCCCCCAGTAGCACAGCGGTATGTCTGCGGACTTTAACCCTAGAAACCGGGTTTCGATACCCGTGGTGGCAAAGCACAGATAGCCCTTTGTGTAGCTTTGTGCTTAACTACAAACAAACAAACAAAACTGAAAATTTATACGTATCTCTCCATAGACCAAATGAACCTTCATACCATACTTGTTGGAGATCCATCCAAAGGAGGTGAGTTAGTGGTAAAAAAACGCCCCAAAAAACCGCAAAATGCAAAACTGAAAAGTCGTATCTATTACGATGTCCATAAGAGGAAACACATATATATGCGTTAACTGACATCAGATATACGAGTATCACTATTTAATGAGAGGTCATCTCATTAAAGGTGGGATACCAGCTTATATGTGAAGTAGTCAAACAAACTGTGTCTGCGTTCTCACTTACGTGTCAAGAGGTTTGAAAGAATTGCAAGACCAAATGTAAACCATTCTATGACCTGCCTTTGCATATCGATTTGTCTTCTCTAGTGCACCCCAATCCTTTGCACAAACGATTCTAAATATCAAAGATTTGATATGAATATTTGGCAACAACTCTTTTAATATCATAAACATCGACTGAGGTGGAAATCCTCAAGAAGAAGAATACTCTGAAACAACAGGAGCAATAAACTGAGAGGTGGATCAAACCTCTTCGGTATGGATTAACAAGACATCTCGAAAAAGGATGCTTACTGAAGTATTCTTGAACGGTGATACTCTTTACACTTTAACAAGTCAACTGGATTTGGCAGGAACTAGTTGTATTGTTTTCTCCTGCTTTGATTTCTAGAAGACATGCTACTCGAAGTTATATTTTCACTGTGTTTCTACTTTTATCAGCGATAACAAATAACCATTTTAACTGTTTTATCTTCTGTTGAAACATGGGATTCCATATCTCTAGAAACTGACGTAAAAAAAGTTTCATCCACCATCAGTTTAGTTGTCCGAGAGATTCAAACACAGTTACAGTAACCCACTTATAATTCCCCTTGTTTTTGAAAATGCCCCTTCCAATTAAAATTACTTATGATCTCCATTTCCCAATCTTCGACTTGTACCAGGCCAGTTCAATAAGTCTAGTTTTATGTATACTTAAATTACAACTATAAATTTAAAATACTGTTTTCGAACACCAACTAACCTATTTCTTCTTAGGCATAGTTTGTTTCTGTTTATATATGTGGACGTGCCAGTACCTCGACCTACATCAATCGATAATCACGTGCACTTTTCAGGTAAGACTAATTTCATTTACGACTTATCGTAATATCTTCGACGTAAGTGATTGCTTCACTTGTGCGAAATACAATTGACATTTTTGTCTACTCTCGTAAAAGAATGGATTTAGATATGAGAAAAAGGGCGTTTTTATAGATAAAGAGTCACGTTATTAGATGCAGTATGGTATCATAGAGATTTCTAACATAATGTTAACTAAACTGTTGTTTACTGTACACTGAAAGTTTCTTTCTTTAAAGATAACTTTCACTAAAGCAAGAAATAGTCTGACATCTTTCTTTCTTTTATTATCTATTTTAATCTTTTGTTTCATGCAATATATTTTAAGGTATGAGTAGCGAAAAAAAACGTAATCTTTATTAAAACGCTTGTTAAAATATTATAATAGAAACAACAGCAAACCTTTTTAATGCATCTAATAAATAAATTTGTATTTCATAGCTGTGCAGAGAATTAATTCAAATGTTCATAAGTTATATTTTAATTTTCTATTTCATCAACATAAGCTCAGTGTATATTAAGAGTAAGAAATAAAGACAAACCTACGATTTTTGGCACAATGAAAGATAAACTCTTTATCAGTCGTTTCACTACGTTTTGTTTTTGTTTTTTAATCTTAATGTACAGTAGCACAATATACATGAAAAGAAACTGAGCTTATTTTGTTTGTATATTTTAAGCTACATTAGTTGAGTTTGATTTCAACACAACTTTCAGATTTTCAATCAGATACCAGGAAGCATGGAAACAGTAGTAACTGACAGAGTATGTGATGAACACAAAAAAAACGAGAGAAAGGAACATGCCATGTTTGTGATCCATTAGCCTCATGCACTGTATCTATGATGAATATTAACTACAATAGAAAGCGCAAAAGTAGTCGGTTGTCAAATCAGTAATAATTAAAAAGGCGCGGCCAAATCAGGGTCATTAGTCACGTGGTAATAGTGGCATGCAAATATGGTAATAACAAACGTGGTCATTAGTCATGTGGTAATAGTGACATGCGCAGATACAAACTTGGTCATTAGTCACGTGGTATTAGTGGCATGCAAATATGGTAATAACAAACGTGGTCATTAGTCACGTGGTAATAGTGGCATGCAAATATGGTAATAACAAACGTGGTCATTAGTCACGTGGTAATAGTGGCATGCAAATATGGTAAT